CATTTTGGTCCTAATACCAATAGCACAAAACAGTATCCAATGCCACAAGTCTAATGCTAAATTCCCTCTAAATAGGATCAGGGATGCCTGGCTAAAAATAATAAGTCATGCTTGGTTAAAAATCTATCCATGCCAAGCAGTTTAGACAGGAAAAAACAAATACTGGAAATCCTGACTTACATTCAGAAGTCAACCTGTGATCCATTCTAGTAAAAGCAACCAACTCATTTCTGGTCTGTGAGTGTAGCTTGTTTTATGTGCTGCGTGGGTTTTTTAACGTGCAACAGTAAATTGATTTCTTAGTCTGTAAAGATGACTTGCAACATGAAATGTGCTTGTTTTGTAATACAGACGGGAATCAGTAGTGCATATCAACATAACAACTCAACCTATTAATCTGCCAAAGCTGTGTAAAAGCATTTATTTCATCGTTGGATTTAGAACCAATTATGTATCCATGTCATACTTAACCAACCTCTACATCAAATTAACTAATTTCCTTGAGCATTGTGCACACTTTCTTGTTTGTTTTCTACCAGCCCAATGATTGTATGCATAATCCGAGTAGGGCTTTCATTAAGGGATGCTCCAAGTTACAGACAAATCCTCCTCTTTGTATTATACAAATAAAAGCATAAGGGGTTCAATATGTGAGGACATGCCACCTAAATGGTGAACACAAGTCCCACCTTACTCCCCTTAATACCCAGCACTTTGTAGATTAACCTGAATAGTGACTGGGCAGCTGTGGCTGTTAATGTACTAAGGAAGGGCCTGCCATTGGTCCTCCACCCCAATCATTTAAACTAAACAATCAGATTTCCTTTAATATAATTGGCTAGTTCTTCAAGCTAAGTTTCAGCCTATCAGAGAGGATACACTGTGTTCTAGACCTCAGGCTGTGTGGATTACTTTTAATTAGAATGCTTGCTTTTTTATTTATTTTTTATGAGCAGAGGAGGAGGATGGCATTAGTTGGCCATGCTGGATTTTTAAGTGAATCATAGTGTTCAAATTTAAGGCTAAAATAGCTGAATTGCAAAGCCAGTTATACTTTCAATTTGGCTACTTTGGCCTAAACTTTGAATTCTCACTTTAGTGAATAACCCTGTAAAGGACATTTTCTGCTTCAGCGCACATGTATGTCTGCTTGTTGTGTTTCTGAATGAAAGGACCTTTTTAAATGTGAATCGAATCAGTTCATGGGTCTATGTTTTATCCATATTATAATAATGATTAATCATTATTATTATTGCTGCTAACATACATGCTCTTTGTGAAGTTACAGTAATGTTCACATAATCGCCCCTTCCCCTATATTACGGTAAATTAATCTTCTGTTCCGGAAAATCATCTGGTTCTTTAGTGGGCAAATATGGACACAGGGACTTTCCTGTTTATATCTTTGAAGGCTACAAGGCTTGTAGTGCTGATTGGAAGCAGCATTTCTAAAATGTTTACACATTACTTCTCTTTATTAAAGCTATGTTACCCACTCTATTAGCAATGCAGGTACTGACATGATTTTCAGCAATCTGGACTTTCCCAAAAATAATGCTTTATGTTCTGGATCTAAAATCAGAAACATTGAAATCTACAACCTAGTTACACACATAGGGTTTATTATGCTACGGATACATTTATTTCCATTTTATTGGAAATTAACAGCTGACAGAAACTCAGTGCAATAAGGATGATGGTGAAATACAGGAAACATTTTTTGTGTTGCTGCCTACCTTTCCCAATCCAGTTAATGAAAGAGGAGTCACTGAATGGCTGAGAGCATCAGCTGACCGCTCTTCGCCAATCAGCGGCACTACTGGCCAGGGACACTCTGCGTTTCCTGAATCTGAAAAACCATCGAGAATGGTTTATCCCCTTGCGTGAAGAGTGCCTCCAGGGGCCTCCTGGCGACATAACTTCATTTAGATGAAGATCCTTTGCTGCCTGGAGTGTCTCTTTAATGTAGCTGGCTGGCTGTCTGGCTGCTGCTGTGGCTGTCTGGCTAGCTGTCTCTGCTGCTATTGCAGTCTGGCTGCAGCTGTGACTATCTAGCTGACTGCTGATGCTGTTTAGCTAGCTGCTGTGGCTTTCTAGATGCTGGCTGACTACTCTAATCTCAAGTAGCCAAAAATGCAATGGGAGGACTCCGAACTTATTTATTTTAAGGAGATGGATTTTTTTAAATAAAAGGCAAACAGATTGGGTCCTTCCACACAAGGTTTGCCCTAAAGTAAATCCAGATCCGTGCAGGCGGTGCATGTTAACGTCCGTATGCGATGTCACCTGGGCCGTCTTTAATATTGATTGGACCCAGGGCAAGCATTTGCTTAGGCCCCCTGAAACCTGCCCTGCACCCACACTTCCACCCCCTGCCATGCAATCGCATTCTCCACCCCAACACTAGCACAAGAGTGGAGAAAAGATAGATCCTCATCTGTCGCACGAGGCTATGCGAGCTGGGGATCCTGTCCTAATGTGTTTTACACCCCACCTCCTATAGAATGTAAGCTCGATTGAGCAGGGTCCTCTTCAACCTATTGTTCCTGTAGGTTTATTTGTAATTGTCCTATTTATAGTTAAATCCCCTCTCATAATATTGTAAAGCGCTACGGAATTTGTTGGCGCTATATAAATGGCAATAATAATAATAATAATAATCTACTATTTGGCCATTCTTGCAGGGCTGTGTTTGTGAGCAGTGTTTGTGCATTTGAATGCGAGCATGTTTTTGTATAGAGGTGTAGTATTAGTGTTTGAATGAAGGGGTGTGTTTGTATATACTTTTTGAGTTTGAATTCAGGGGTGTTTATATGTAATGTCTGTGCTTGCAGGGGTGTGTTTGCTTTTTGTGTTTGATTGCTGGGATGTATGCGCATTCATGACAGGCGCACAGTCGGATTTGCCGGCATATGCGCTAACCTTACCCCAACCCCCATTAAAACACGGACACAGGTTATACTGTTGGAAATAATTTGTCCACAGCTTTATTAAATTATTAATAAATAATTAAGGAATAACAAATGGGGTCATTGCCAACAAATCTTAATAATGTTAACCTCCCCCATATACATAACCACATAACCACATTTCCACCAGGTTAAATTGTAGGGGTGTACCGAGACACCGCTACCCACCATATCCATTGTAGGGGTGTACCAAGACACCGCTACCCACCATATCCATTGTAGGGGTGTACCAAGACACCGCTACCCACCATATCCATTGTAGGGGTGTACCAAGACACCGCTACCCACCAGTTCCAGTGTAGGGTGTACCAAGACACCACCACACCCCCAGGTTCGGAGCCACCGACGGGCTCGAACCTACCAACCACGTGCAACACTGCCCAATCCACACTAAACCTCAGGATGCCCACTTTCTCCTCCATCTACCCTCCGATTTAACCAGGCCATTCCCCGCCGCTGTGAAAAAACGGGAAATCAACTAACCTAACCAAATACAGGGAGGGTGGGAGGGACAACTGACAGGTAAGCTTAGGTTCAGTTAAAATGGCCACTTCATATAAAGGCTGGTATAAATACTCCCCTTATGGCTCCGCCCTACCCAGCATGCTAGCTGTCACTAAATTCCTGTGGCTGCTCTGCCTACCTCCTGGCTCTGTCAAGGCCTATTCCTCTTAGCTGCGCTGATCCATGGGCTACATGACAGGCGCACAGTCGGATTTGCCGGCATATGCGCTAACCTTACCCCAACCCCCATTAAAACACGGACACAGGTTATACTGTTGGAAATAATTTGTCCACAGCTTTATTAAATTATTAATAAATAATTAAGGAATAACAAATGGGGTCATTGCCAACAAATCTTAATAATGTTAACCTCCCCCACATACATAACATACCCCTAGCAATGACCCCACAATAATAACAATAGATAACAATATAAATAACATGTTAACACAGAAACTGGCCGTCCAATTTGACCATATTTCCACCAGGTTAAATTGTAGGGGTGTACCGAGACACCGCTACCCACCATATCCATTGTAGGGGTGTACCAAGACACCTCTACCCACCATATCCATTGTAGGGGTGTACCAAGACACCGCTACCCACCAGTTCCAGTGTAGGGTGTACCAAGACACCACCACACCCCCAGGTTCGGAGCCACCGACGGGCTCGAACCTACCAACCACGTGCAACACTGCCCAATCCACACTAAACCTCAGGATGCCCACTTTCTCCTCCATCTACCCTCCGATTTAACCAGGCCATTCCCCGCCACAGCTCAGGACTTGACACCTAAAGCTCCTGAGCGACCCCCACCACACCGGAATAAGGCCTGTTGAATGCCTTCCTGAAGGCCCAATTTAAACAGATCACACCTTACATCCGAAAATGTACCCCATCCCACCTGGAGTACCCAGGAAGCTTTCCTCCCAATTCGTTGTGTCTCACTGTTACACCGCCCCCACATCTGATAAATACCGCCATCAATTTTTTATTAAGTCGTCCTCGACACCGAGCTAGCACGGCCGGGTACGTAGTATGTCTCCAATGTAACCAAGGAACCATCTCGGACCGCACCACCACCACCACCACACCCGTGGCCAGCTCCCATAGCTGGTCCACCTCCCTCTGCCTCCACCTGATCAATTTCTTTTCCGGGACCATGCCAATATCCAGAATGTCCTGGAAAGTACCCCTTGTTACCTCCCGGAAAAATTTCTCCCCTAATGTCTTGCCACCAAAATCCCTGAAAAACAAAACCACTCCTGCTCCACCAATTTCAAAGGAAAGCCCAGTTACGTTTGAACTGAAACGCGGCTCCCATCTGTGCCCCTTAGATATAAGAATGACCCACCAACCATGTCACCAAACCTGAAACGAAAGTAATTAGCGACAAGGCATAGCCCCAAACACAAACCCATACGTCCATAGCCATTAAACCAAATAGACTGGCCTGAAACAGGACTTAAACCGTACTGACTCCCACCTGCCTAAACGTTTCCCTAGGTCCTCACTTAAAACCAGGTGGGGTGCCTCTGTTACCGCCATCACCTGGGAAGAATGGGTCCCAAAGTGCCCGGGATCCAAACCCAACATTGTCAAACCCCTTCGAACAAACACCTGCGGGAATTGAATCGTGACAGCACCGATCTGTCCCCTTTTACCAGTAAGCCACCCGGGATGTCCGGGCAAAGCTCCAAGTAGCATGATGCGCTTAACACCGGGCGTACCCCTGACCCCGGCAGGGAATATAGCTTTACCAAACCTTAACCGACTAAGGTTCGACAACCAAGTGTAGAACCCCCCCAACACCTGCCCGAAGGCACTCACCAGTTCTCCAATCCAAATTGCCCCAAGCCTCCGAGAAGGCCACCGCAAGCAAACTCACTGCAAAAGTAGGGTAATACACCACCAGGCGTTGCGTTACCCAAGGAAACCCGCCGCCCGGCACCGACATATTTCATATCTCTCCGTAAGACCCGCGATGCCTGACGGACGTGACAACGTTCCGTCACTTCCTCCCAATCAGTCAGTTTAAACCCTAACGACAATGCCACCATGCTCCTGTCCATTGCTGATGGAGCTAACGCTGAACAAACAAACGGCTTAGGAACCACAGCAAGGTATCCCTTCGCCCCTCCTTTGACTGGGCCCCCACAGTGAAACCAACCGCCTTGTCCCACATATCTCAAACGTTCACATAGGCAGTCCCTGTGCCCGGTGCCATAGGATTCTGTATCGATCCTCCAAGCATGGCGTCTCGAGCTGCCACATTTCCTCCAGACTGGACAGTCCCTCCTCCCGCGCCCCCTGGGGCCGCCATTCGCAGCTTGTCCCCTTGTGCGCGAGCCAAGTAACCAGCCCCTACCTTCCGCCAACCAGGCATGTGGCGTGCCTGCACCCGATACCTGAACAGTGATACGAATCGCCGCACCTCCTGAACCGAGGACCCGGCTGAATGGTAAACCACACGAACCTCGCCGTATTGTGCGTGAATTATGACTTTTCATCCCTTAATCCTTCACCTTTTAGAGCCACAGCCACTCCCAATTGAAATAACTCATAAGATGCCAACTTCGAATAAGAGGACTTACCTTTTATGCCTCCCACCACCGCTCTGCGCACCACCTGCCTTCCAGGTATGCCCCGGAATCTATGTTCCCAAAGGTATCTGTGAACAACTCGATACCACCCGCAAAGGCTCCACAAGTAGCCTTCGCCATGAAATGGCTACCGACCCAGTACTCGCGACTAACCCGACATGCAACTTGAAACTGCCTTATGAACAACTGCGATTTCTCAGTGACCTTCTTGGACCTGCGAACCTTCAGCCTGAACTCCCGAAGTGCAGTCAACTGAACCCCAGGCAATCGACACTCTCCTACCACCGAAACAATTTCCAGTCCAAGCAAAGACGTGCGGTAGGATTCCCGTGACCGTAAGTTATGTCCACAATGGGCGGGCCCAGCCGAGCCCACACAGCAAGCTATCTTACAGATAATGTACTAAGGAACCCCTTTCTGATTCGTTTTTCACCTCCCACTCCCAGACGGATCCAACTTCCCGAGTAGGAACATGAATGGAACTGCCCCTTGGCAAGTAGAGGTTACCAATATGAACCTGCAAACATGCAACCCAAAAGATGGAAGGGTCGCCAATAATCGAACACGTCCTGTTCCCCCAAACCAACTCGACGGCAAGGCCGAATGATGCCAACGATACAGAACAGTTCCGCGGCGATGTCCTCATTTACCGATGCCCCTTTTGGGTGCGATAAGTTTTGTATTGGACAGAATTTGCTCGCCCATTTCTAGGGGACCACCCCCCATGGAGACACCCACAGGTCCGCTAATGGCGCGGAAGTTCCCCCATGGACTTGATATTCGCCCACCACTTTTCCTGGTCCCTCGACTTTGAATGGAATAGCGTAAACCCCCTCAACAATCTCAGCCATAAAACTAGCGCATTCATGGGAGGCTTACTGCCTTAGCCACAGCAGCAATGCACTGATCATCATAGGTGCCGCTCCGAGCCGCAACCGCGGGGCTGGAGCCCTGCCGAGTACCCTTCCTGCCTTAGGTTTTCCTTTTTTGACGCGTCAGTTGACACCGTGACTCCCACTGCCTCCGGAACACCTGTATCGAAGCCTACCCGACGGTCCCCAGTTGTACTGACCTTTCTTCTGTCCAGCCAGCACAGCACCTCCTGGGGGTGCGCCGTCAGCCCCCAGAAAGAGCGCATTTCCTGCACTATCATTAGGAACCACCCCTTTTAAATCAATGAACTCCTCGAGCAGAAGACAGGAATTTTTTTTTTTTTTAAATCCCCTTTATCAAATTTTATCCTCCACCTTAAAGTGCCCCCCAATGTCCCCGCGAAGGACACGTGCCCATTTTGTTGCACCACGCCTGGAATATTGCCACACATCTAACTGTTCTCCTGCCCCGTCAGATGTCCCCGGTACCGGTACACCGTATTCCCCTTCCCTTACCCGGCACGCCGTCACCACCACCCTTACTTCGGCCTCCCGACTGCGCTCTGGTGACCCCACCCTTCGGCACTGCGGGGACGGCCCCTTTTTTCCTTGATCATGACTCTAAAATGATTTATGCAATTTAAAAAAGTGTGGTGTGTTTATTGACTCACCGCCCGAACCCCCGTCTGCGCTGTCCTTCCATCCACCTTGCCAGGCTCTGGAGTATCCGGTGGATGCCGACTCCTGTCCGCGCTGGTCCAGCCTCAAGCCCGTAGAAGTAACACTCCTCGACCTGCTTCTCCATCCCTCATCCGACCTCCCGCTGCTGCTGTGCCTGTCATTGTCGTTGCACTGCTCCCTGCCGTACTCACACCTGCTGATGCTCCTCCTGTGTTCCTGCTCCTGAGAACACCCCCCAGGGGGCTCCCGCTTGCCTCTGTGCCTTACGTCCATTTCCACCCGTCCATGTCCTCTCTTCTGCCCTCTGCTTGCAGTACCTGGCCTCTCCCAGGCCGCCTCATCCACTTGTGGCCCCTTTAATTAATCCTGGTTGCTGGCCTTCCCCTCCATAGCTGCTCTGCTGTGCCTGTGAAGACTCCGCCTGCTGCTTTCACTATCCCCTTCCTTCCACTCTGACCTGACCCTGGCCCCATCCAGGGCCGCCTCCGTCTGTGTCCCGCCGACCTGGACCCCCCTCGCCTGCCCATTGGGGGGGGGGGGACCGCTTTTACACTGCTGGGCCCTTGCATCATTCCCCCTGTCACTCAGGTATGCCACCAGGGGCAGACTCACCAGGACGCCTCTTGCCGCTCTCCCTGCCTGGCGGCCATCATGTCATGCTGGATTCCGCCGTCCTTTGTGCTTTCCCGCCCCCCCGCCTTATTGCAGGGGGCGCTCTTCCTGTGCGGCCTCATCCTGACCTGCCGTCTTGCCTGACCGGCGCCGCGTCGAACATACGGCGCCAGCCGCCCTCCAACTCCTGCCTGCTTTCCGACCTCATTCTCAGCCTTCCCCTTGCCGCCTCCTGACAGGCTCACGGGCTGCCGAACTAACGATGTCACTCACAGGCTGCCGCTGGGGCGTCCTCGCTCTCCTTGCTGGCCTCTGTTCCACCGCCGCGTGGGGGGGGGGGGGTAGCAGACATGCTGCAGCCACCAGCCCCGATTCTGCCACAACCTTTGTGACCAGGATGGTGGCTTGCTTGGAGTTCTGTCTGAGGCTGATGGGAGTGAGCATGCAGCAGCAGCAGCTCACTCCAGCCTCTCCTGTACCTCCATGCTGTCTCCTGTCTCAGTACTGCCTGTTCTCCATGCTGCTGATGGGAGTGATCATGTAATAGCAGCTCACTCCAGCCTCTCCTGTATCTCAATGCTGCCTCCTGTCTCAGTACTGCCTGTTCTTCTATGCTGCCTCCATGCTGCTGATGGGAGTGATCATGTAGTAGCAGCTCACTCCAACCTCTCCTGTATCTCCATGCTGCCTGTTCTGCTATGCTGCCTCCATGCTGCTGCCTTCTCCTTTCAGGGCAGGCAGCTTTCACAACTGACAGGTAAGCTTAGGTTCAGTTAAAATGGCCACTTCATATAATGGCTGGTATAAATACTCCCCTTATGGCTTCGCCCTACCCAGCATGCTAGCTGTCACTAAATTCCTGTGGCTGCTCTGCCTACCTCCTGGCTCTGTCAAGGCCTATTCCTCTTAGCTGCGCTGATCCATGGGCTACATTCTTTACATACACAGATATACATATACACTAGTACGCAGATGCACACAAACACACTGATACATGCACACACCTGGACACATGTACATATTCAGATACACACAGGTACAGACATATATACACACTCAGATGCACACATACACACACACCCACACAGAGACGCAGATATTTACACACACGCATAGGTGTATTTGTGTGCAGTGTTGGCATAGGAATGCTGGGATTTATGCGTTGCCTTACAAAAGCTCTGAGATACACACAGGAATAGCTACACATGCAGTGGTGTATTTGTGTACAGTGTTAGTTTTGGAATGCAGGAGTATATTTGTCCGCAGTCTTAGCATTGGAATATAGCAGTGTATTTGTGTGTTGGCACTGGAATGATGTGATGTATGCATTGCAACATGCATAGATACACACACTGACAAACATATACACACACTGACACACATATACACAGACACACATGTACACATACATACTGTAACACACCACCTTTTTTCAGGTAGGTTTTTGTCACAGATCTTGTAACCACAGCCTTCTAGGGTAATGAAAGTCCAGGACACATATAGCTCAGTTTTTCAGATTTATTCGGTGAAATATAAATACAAGTGTTACAAAAAATGAAAAATAAACAAAACAAAATTCCTTGCTCTTGCTTGAGCACTTACTATACACAGCAAATCCCTATCTGGAATTGGGTGGCTTTCCCACTTGCTAATTTACAAAATGTATAACTGCAAGACACCATTCCACTGGCATTTCCTCCTCACTCTGCAGCATGCTGATCCCTTCTTTTTAAAAGCCTGCTAGCTAATTGATCAGATACAGGTGAGCTGCAATTAGACATAAGTGAAACTACTAAGCAAAATAAAAGTTCTGGTCCGACTGTTACTTAGCAGCTGGTGCTATTGGAGCACTGGCCCACCCTGCTCCGCCCCAGGGACCCATACCGTGGTTTGCAGAGTACCAGTAATGCATCTTGCAAACATAACATCTCTCCCTGGGACATTTAACTCTCAAACCTCAGGCTGCTGTTCAGTAAATCAGGCCTAATGTATATGCCATCAACTACCAAACCACATTTTCTCTCACAATACTGACACACAAGTAAACATACACAGGTATACATACACATACACACTGACACAAGCACAGTCAGATACACACAGTCAGATACACACTGACACAAACACAACCAGATGCACACACCCAGTCAGATACACACACTGACAAAAACACATCCAGATACACACATACAGTCAGATGCACACCCTGACACAAACAGCAAGATTAACACAGACAAACACAATCAGATACACACACACAGCCCAATACACACACTGACACAAACACAGCCACATACACACATACAGTCAGATAGACACATACAGTTAGATTAAAAAAAACACACAGACCCAGATACACACACTGACACACAGCCAGATACACACACTGACACACAGCCAGATACACACACACACAAAACTTACAGTCCAAGATTCCATACTTAGAAAAATCATATGACACTAGGGTAGGCAACACGATACAAATGGTGGAGGAATGTGTAGCCTTCTATGAACAATTGTATAATTTAGAACAAGATAAGGGGGAGGGGTGGTACAACCCAAACAATAGATCAATTTTCATGAACCATAAATTTGCCCCAGATAACTATAACACAGGCAAAGGAGATAGTCTCAGAACAAGAGGTTCAGTTGGCATTATTTAACACCCCGAAACACAAAGCTCTGGGTCCTGATGGATTATCTTCCTTTTATTATGCTAAATTTAGTGAATTACTTGTCCCCCATTTAACTGTTCTTTTCAATAATATTTTAGATTCGGGCCAAATACATCAGGAGATGTTAGAAGCTAATATAATTATTATCCCAAAACCCAGCAAACCTCAGACTAGTTGTGCAAATCTTCGCCTGATATCACTGCTCAATGCAGATACATAGCTATTTGCTAAAGTTATGGCCCAAAGGATAAAACCCTTATTATCAGAGTTTGTATCATCTGAACAGGCAGGTTTTGTCCCAGGAAGACAGGTAGATGGTTAATACTAGGAGGTTTTTAGACTTAGAAATTATGAAAAGAGAAGAGAGACAAGGACTGATACTAGCTCTTGATGCTGAAAAGGCCTTTGACCGCCTACATTGGCGGTACATAGCCTCGGTAAAATACCAGCTAGACTTAGGAAGTGAATATCATCATTATACTTGACCCGGACCGTGAAAATATTACTTACAGGGTTTATGCCACAAAAGTTTTGTATAACAAATGGGTCGAGGCAGGGATGCCCTCTCTTGTCCTTGATCTTTATTTTAGCTTTAGAACCATTTATTCTACATTTAAAGCAACACCATGCAATAAAAGGATTAGAAACACAACTGGGTCCTCAAAAAATTGCTTCATTTGCAGACAATGCCCTCCTCCTCATCATCACTCAGCCTCTTAGCTCATTACCAACATTAATGGAAGTTTCCTTTTACAAGAACATTGTTGTAGAAACTCAAGTCTTGCCGATACATTTACCAAGAAATATTAAGGAACAATTAATTGCATTATACCCATTCAAAAGGAGAAGGGACACACTTACGTACTTGGGTATTCAATTGGCTACTTCCAAACAAAAGATGGTGGAAGCCAATGTTAGCAGCTTGTTATTTGAAACTCAAAATGATTTAGATCATTGGAAGGGTTGGGGGGGAGGGGGACTTCTTGGTTAGGCCGTATAAATTCGGTGAAGATATTATTGCCTAAAATTGTTTTTATTCCGTGCAATACCTATATTAATTCCCAAACATATCCTAAATAGATTTCAGAAATGTATTAATGCCCACATTTGGAGAAAAAAAAACAAAGGGTTTCATTTACATCGATGTGTTATGGGGTGATATATCTTTTTAGTCAGAAGATTTATTTTTGTGTGAGAAGAGAAGGACATCAAACAAATATTCCAACTGTACGATTTAATGGTATTAGGCCTGTTTACGATATACAATTAGAATATGGACCTGATAGCAAATAAATTTTCACATATCTGAGAGTAAAACACATTCTTACACAGAGAAAGGTGAAAGGGATAACAGAGGAAGAGACAAGTGGCTTTGGAAAATTTGTATGTGGGAAAACTGAAACAGACAAAAGCTTGATAGAGGCGGGTAGGCCTGTTAAACTACCCTACATGATTAAATGGGAAAAGGAATTGAATTTCACTATTGACCCAGCTCAGTGGCTGTTAGCAATGAGAGTAACAAAAAAAATGTATGCTTTGTCTTGACCATATTAAAGCTATGAGTAAAATTTGGATAAGGTGATACTTAACGCCCCAGCACCTTTCTAATATGTATGAGGGGATAACATCAGTATGTTGGAGATGTAATTTGGAGACGGGCTCCATAAGCCATGTTTTCTGTAGTTGCACATATCTTTCTGCTTACTGGAATTCAATTAAAAGTTTGATTAAAGAGAGGTCTGGGCACGAAATACCATTGCTACCGGCCACTTATCTTTTGCATATACTCCCTAGTGGAAGTCCCCAACATAAGGCGACACTGATTATTCATATACTCATAGTGGCTAAAATATGCATTGCTGCGATGTGGAAAACAAACAATTTCATGATGTGTCAAAAGTAATTGCTAAAATTTCCAACACAAAAGAATTTGAGGCTATCTCCTATAAACTCTCCAGCAATATAGGTCACTTTCATAAAAGATGGGATGCTTGAAAAAAATTTATACTATCTG